TAAATACAACATAAATAAATAACATTAGAAACAAGGTGTCATACCCATTACAGGCAGCTTTGCAGCCCTCTTCAAATTCCTCATGCCGCAGAATCTAGTAAGGAAATTACAATAAATTGTCAAGTGTTACCAGTACTGTATACAGCATATTTAGCACAACTTAAAATGTTAAAACACAAACATTTATAACTTATGTATAATAACATATAAGCTTTACTTGTAAGACAAAGATAATGAGCTTTATATCTTGCCCAGACTAGAAGTAGTAGAGGTAAGGAAGAACAGTTTGACACCAAGGGTGAGACAACCAAAGCTGTGAAATCTACTTACACTGGGAAGCAGTGCTGTGTAGTTAAAACAACAACAACAACAAAATCCCCCAAAAACCAAAGTTTGGCCTTCAGCATTAGAGAATTCTGATTTGGAATTCTGGATGTCACTCAATAGTTGTGTAACTCTGAGAATGTTGCTTAGGGTCTGAGTCTCCCAATGTGTTGTGAAAATAGATAATTTATTAGACCATTTGACACAGAACCCCACAGACAGTAGGCTCTCAATGTCTTAGTTTCTACTCTCCTTTTTGATTCCCACTGCTACTGCTCCAGTTCAAGTTCCCATCAGTTCTCTCCTAGACTATTAAAAATCATCTTCATTGATCTTTTTCCTTAATACCACCACAAAATTATGTGCCTAATGCACAGCTCTGATCACATCATTACCCTCTTCTAAAATGTAAGGCAGCTCCCAAATTACTGTGCCATAAAATCCAAATTTCTTAGTATTCAAGATACTATCAGAAGTGTCCTGATATCCCATCTCAACTTCATCTAAGTAATCTAAGCTAAAGACACAGAAAACTAGCAGTGTTTCCCAAACATAACTTATCTTTGCATTGGCTCTTCAACTTTTCTAGTATACTCCTCCCTCTAATCTTGGTTTGTGGAAATCTTAGCTATCTTTAGAGATCAACTCAAACACAAGGTCTCCATGAATTATTTCCTGATGACCCAGCCCAAAGTTAAATCTCTTCTGTCGTATTTTTGTAATAGTAGCAGCAAACACTTATATAGCACATACGATGTATCAAATACTACACATATAACAGTATTTAATTTTCATAACAACCTTTAATCAATGAGGAAACATGTTAAGGGAGAGTTTTGTGGTTTTCCATCACTTACCAAGTTTTGACTTCCATTACTGTACTATGTACAATGTACTACGTACAAATCCAATTCTCAACTCCACCCCCAACCTAGGCCAGGAGCTTTAGTTGAAGACAGATACTAGGGTCATTTTCATTTTTGTCACCAAAGTTCAACACACGACCATGAAACACGGAGGATGTATTTTAAATGACTGATGAATTCAGGTAACGCCCTTGCACTCCACGACTTCTGCACTGTCTCTGCATTAAATTGCACTCTCGCACCTCTAAAGCCCTTGCTTACACTCCCCAATAGCTTCCACCAGCAATAGGTTCCACCAGGGACCACCCAGGTGATCCCTGTAGATAGCAGCAGCTCAGGGCTGGAGAGGGCGCTTCCGGGTGTTGGAAAGAATGGGTTCTGACTTAGGGCAGGCGCTTTTGAATACACAAAAGGGACTATTCAAAGCAGCCCTGAGAGAAGCAAAGCTCTAAATAGGCAATCTAAACCTTAAGGCTCCAAACCGGAAGAGACTGAATTGTTTACTGGAAAAGTATTATATTACTTTTTGTTTACTGTCTTTCCCCCGGCTAGAAGCCCCAGGAGGGCTGAGGCTCAATACCTGCAAATGAACTAGGAAAGAAACGTGTGTGGGCACACAGTCGAGGACTAATAAAGGCCCCTTTCAAAGTCATCTAACCCAACCAGTGACATGCAACACTTCCCGAAGCTGAAAACTCGACAAGGCTAAAAAGAGTCCAAGGCTAAGGTCGGACACCCATTTGTCCCCACCATCGTGTGCCAGCCCCTCCGGGCCCTGTCTGCACCTTCATTCCAAGGACATCGCGAAAGAAATGCGTCGTCTGGAAGCGGTTTCCCACTTTGAATACGAAGTGCAAAGCTCGACGAGAAGCCATACCCACCGGCGCCACTCCCATCAGGCGTACAGTGCTGCCCGCCGGCAGCTGCGCAGACGGGCCGGTGACGTCACTGGCAGCCGCCGGCGCGCTTCCATGACGCAACCCACGGGGCGAGGGAAGATGGCAGCGCGGTTGAGGGGTTTAGTTTGGGCCAGCCGGCCGCTGCTGCCGGTGGTCCAAACTTGGGACCTCCACGCGCGGCGCTGGGTCCGGGCGCTGCGGCGGAGCCCCGTGAGAGTGGTGTCTCCATCCGGACAGGGGGTGGAACGTAAACCCGGTCCTGGGAAGCAGCCCCGTAGAGCGGCGGCTGAGACCGGTCCCCACGAGCCGCGACGGAAGCCGTCGCTTCAGGTGCCTCCATCCCAGAAGCCCTGCACCTGGGAAGATTCGGGGCTTCGCTATGATAAGGCTTTACCCGGAGACAGAAGGCTGAGGTGACTTGTTCCTGTGACTTGTCATGTATTCCCGTTTCTCTTCCCATTTCTCTTCCCGCCTGCCAACCTCTTTCCTCCTTTTGGAGGACTTCTTCCACCAGAATCCATTGGTTTTTATAATGCATGGAGGGCAGAATAAGTGTTTTCCTTGGAATTTATTTGTTAATGTCTATGAAGTTCTTTCTGTTTGTTAAAACTAGGTGTGTCTCGGTAACAAGGATGCTGGTAATTAACCCGTCTTTTTGTTTCCACCCACAGCAGTGTAATGACAATTGTTAAGTCCAGGCCATTTCGGGAAAAGCACGGGAAGATCCTGCTGGAAGGTCGCAGGCTGATTGCAGATGCTCTCAAGGCTGGTGCTGTACCGAAAATTTTCTTCTTTAGCCGTCTGGAATACCTAAAGGAGCTGCCCATTGATAAGCTGAAAGGTGTCAGCCTCATTAAGGTGAAATTTGAAGATATCAAGGATTGGTCCGACCTAGTAACACCACAAGGAATAATGGGTCAGTGGTTACAGCATGTCACCAGAAGTAGAGACCTAGGATCATTTGTTCATAATTATCTTTTTTTTCAACGTTTTTTTTTTTTTAAATTTATTTTTGGGACAGAGAGAAGAGGCGAGCATATGAACAGGAGGAGGAGCAGAGAGAGAGAACACAGAATCGGAAACAGGCTCAGGCTCGAGCCATCAGCCAGAGCCTGGCGGGGCTCAGACTCCGCACCCAGGACCCGCGGATCGTGACCTGGCTGGTCGGACTGCCCAACTGCGACCGGCGCATGCCAGGAAAAGCCCCTGTTCATAATTATCTTAAGGCAGCAAACAAATTTTCAAAATATTATTTTCTTAACTTTTCTTGAGACACCCAGAAAAACACAGTAAATCTGTGCATCTTGTAGTATTTTCAGTGGAAGCTGAAGCCAGTTTTTTTGGTCATCGTTTGAATTACAGTTCTTGAATATTATATATTCTCCTTGAATGTTATATATTTTTAGGTCACTTCTTCAACCAATAATGTCCAACTAAAATTTAAGAAAATGTTTACTAAAAGATTTAGGCCTCTATTTGCACAAGACCACTGCCAGTGTGGTGATAACCTTTCTGTTGTTGACCCCCTTATTCTAGAAGCAGGTGTAAGCAGTAAGCTGCAAGCTGTTACCCTGTTTTAGCCCATTGAACAGGAAACTGTGTCTTCCTTTGGTTGACTCTGACTTAAGATTCTTTTTTTCAAGTTTTTTTTTTTTTAATGTTTATTTATTTTCTAGAGAGAGAGAGACTAGGGGAGGGGCAAAGGGAAAGGGAGACACAGAATCCAAAGCAGAGTCCAGGCTCTGAGCTGTCAGCACAGATCCTGATATGGGGCTCAAACCCACGAACTGTGAGATTGTGACCTGAGCTGGAGTTGGACACTTTAACCGACTGAGCCACCCAGGCTCCTCTAACTTAAGATTCTAATAGATGGTGGTGTCTATTAGCACTTAGAAAGTCTTTTTTCTAAAAAAAAAAAAAAAAAAAAAAAAGGAAAAAGAAAGCCTTTTTTCTGAATATGGGAAGTCTAAATATATCTTTTTGACATTGGAATTATATTTTTGATCTGAGAATTGAATGACAGTAAATGTAGAGGTTTCTCTTGGATAGTAAGGGACAGTTGGGGTAGGAGAAGTTATCTTCCAAGATTCTAATGTTTAGGCCAGGGTCCCTCATACCAGTTGTGCATGTGTTTTCCTGTAGTGGGTAAAGTGCAGCTATTAGTTGGGAGAGGAAATTTGGGGACTGTCTCTTATTCTGTAACCCATCAAGTCCTAGGGACCTGTGACCCTACACACAGAACTCTCCCCTAGAGTGGGGATTTGGACTGCTAAAGTTCTCCACCCTAAGTATCCGTGCTCTTGTTAGCTATACTTCTAATTCCCTTCTCTATGCTACAGTACAAGTATCATTCATTTTTATCCTGCTGGCCACTTTGGGCACATGTGTTGATAGCGGCTAGCCCATCCTGGACTTCTGTAGCCCTCCTCGTCGTCATGACTGCCTTTCATCGTTTTGTGTCTTTTAAAAATATATATTATTTAGCTTACCCTTTTATTTCATATTTGAGAGGTGGAGTAAAGGGAGAAGGAGATAAGACTGTCAGGCTTCTGGCACATCTCTGAATCCAGTAATGTAAGTAGGGCCTCTAGCAGAGTGTTCTCGTCACTGCAGCTGTCCAGGTAGAAATTAAAGGACTTCAAGGGGTGCCTGGGTGGCTCAGTTGGTTAAGCGTCTGACTTTGGCTCAGGTCATGACCTTGTGATTCATGGGTTCCAGTTCCATGTCAGGCTCTGTGCTGAAAGCCTGGAGCCTGCTTCCGATTCTGTGTATCCCTCTCTCTCTCTGCTCCTCCCCTGCTCGTACTGTCTCTTTCTTCCAAAAAAAAAAAAAAAAATTAACCAGAAAAGAAGTTAAAGGACTTCTAAGGTCCCCTGCTGTTGTGACTCTTAGGTGCAGGATCTTTTTACCACATACAGATACCTAATAGGGAAACCATTCCCTTCCCTTCATTGATGGGTTAGGTATAGGTCTGTATTCTTGTGTGAATAAATTGGAATAGCCTTTGGGGAGGACAGTTTAGCAGTATCTATTAAGAGTGCTTGAGTCACCTGGCTGGCTCACTCGGGAGAACATGCGACTCTTGATCTCGGGCCATGAGTTTGAGCCCCATGTGGGGGTAGAGATTACTTAAATATTAAAAAAAAAAAAAAAAAGTGCACACACACCATATATTAATTTTACTTGCAAGTGTTTTTCATAGAGAAAAGTTCGGACATATGCATAGAGAGGTATACAGGGATGTTCACTGCAGGGTTGTTTATAACAGGGAAAGTGGAAAATAATCAAATTATCAGTTGGGGAAGAACTAAATAAAGGTGGTATGTTCATGTTACAAAATAACATGCAACAGTTAAAATCAGGTAACTCCAAATGTATTGACATGGCAAGTTCTCTAAGACATCTCTTGTTATAGAATTGAATAAGTAGTTTACAGGATAACACATAGAGTATGAATTTTGTATGTGAAAGAAAAGAAGCACCTGTATATGGGTAGACATTTATATATGTACGTAGATGCGTGGAACAGGTTCTGAAGGGATCTATACACTCCCAAGATTGAAAACAGTTACGGAGAGGAGGTGTCACGGTCAGGACTTTTTGTATCAATTTTTTTCAGTCAGAATGTATTCATGTAGTACTTACATGACTAAGAACACAGAAAGATCGATAAATATCTGAAAAGCCAAATTATCTCCCAGGTTCAAATCAGACAAGTGAACCGCCTGTTTTGTTTCCTCAGGGATCTTTGCCAAACCTGACCATGTTAAGATGACATACCCAGAGACTCAACTTCGCCATTTGCTGCCCTTATTGTTGATTTGTGACAATCTCCGTGACCCTGGGAACCTGGGGACGATTCTGAGATCTGCTGCTGGGGCAGGCTGCAGCAAAGTATTACTCACCAAAGGTCAGAGCACTTGTTCCTGAGTGGATTGGTTGGCCATTTGTAAGTGAGCTGGCTCTGTGGGCAGACATACATGGATTTGAATTTTGGGTCTGCCTCTTATTAGCCATTTGTCTGTGAGCAGTATTCTGAGTGTCATTTCCCTCATCTGTAAAGTGGGCATAACAGAATCTACCTGGTAGGGTTGTTCTGAGAAGTGAGATGGTGCACATGAAGTACTTAGCACTGTGCTTGGCACACGTTAGGTACTTCAGGAAATGTCAGTTATCTTATAAGATTATTTTGACACCGGCTAGGTTATTAAAGAACTTAAAACCAGGGAAAGAAATACATGCCAGTTTTAACACTTCGAGTCCTTTATTTAATGATCTTGAGTTCCCAAATTGGGGGGCATATGAAGCCTTCCTAACTGAAGACACTCTGAATCCTGTAAAAGGAGTGTGAATATGAAATTGGGATGCATTTGCCTTAGCCTTAAGATGGGTCAGACATCCCCACACAAGTTAGCCTCTGACATTTCTCTCTCCTGTCCTCAGAAATTGGGATGAGTAGGCTTGGTTCTAAACAGACTTGCCTAACAGCTGGGACACACCTAAAACACCTGTTACAACTTGCAGGGATGGTGAGAGGGAGAGAGTTCATCGAAAACACTCCAGCTATCATTCACTGTAAACTAATGACACCTGCTGCTGAGACTTGCCTCAGTTGCTCCTTTCACCCCTTCGTCCCAGTCACATGTTGTTGGAATAGATGGGAGTAGATGTAGAGATGGCAGCATGAGAGCTAGTACCGGGGTTCCATCATCAGTACCCCGCCTACCCACCCCATTGTTGAGATCTCTGAGAGCTGGTGTGGTTTTGGAGATGTACCTATATAATCCAAGTGGTGTGTTTGCCACATTCATGGTGGTGGCTGGTGTATAGGACAAGGGGAAGGAGTAGGGAGCACTTGGCCTGGTGCCCAGTATGGAGGATGTGAGGATGAGGGGGGAAATCCCACTTTGTTCCTTACTCCCCACCAGGGAGAGGGGTCAGACTGGATGGCTCCCCTCATGAGTCTCGGGCCTCTTTTGTCCTCTCCGTTTTGCCTGCAGCCTCTTGACACACAGCCCAACTCTTCTCTCCATTTCCCTGCAGTGATTGGGAAAGTCTGTGGTTGGCAGTCGGCGTGGGCAGTGTTACATTCTCTGTGTCTTATCTTCCTTTTAAAATTTGGCTTGCCCACTTACTCTGTTCTGAAGTTGGGTTACTTTTTACAGTAATTTCTAATGCAGAGAGTTGTGTTAACAAGTTAGGGGATGGTGGCAGACATGTGATGCCCTGGCCCTGCTGTCTCTCCCAGCCTGTGGTCCTGAGAAAGACCATGCAGAAGTGGCTAGGCTTAGCATGGGTCTGAATATAAAAAATAGTTCTTTTAGCCTTTTTTCTGTGGTGTGAGAGGGTGTGAGGGTGTGTGTGTGAGAGAGAGAGAGGGAGAGAGAAAGAGAAAGCTGTTGCCTTGGCTTTCCATGGATCACTGTAATTGCCTCCCATTTAATTTCCCCTCTCTAGGGTCTTCCCTGCTCTGGTGCAGATTTAACACTGAAGCCAAATGGGTCTTTCTAAAGCATAAACCAGATTCTGTCACTACTTTACTTAAAATCCTTTGATAGCATTATATTAATGGACAAAGTCCCAAACTCCTCAGCCTGGCATACCCACCCTCCTTTAAGTTGGTCCTTGCCTGCCTCCCTTTCATCTCCCGCTACGCCCCCACCCGCTATTGGCCTGATCGCTTTACTTACAGTTTTTAGACTGTGGCACTCTTCCCCCTTCTAGAATTTTGTCCTCTGCCTCAGCCTTTCTTTGACAGCTTCCTCCTATCCTTCAAGATCCAGCTCACTGTCATGTTCTCTGGGACATTTTTCCTGATAGCTCTGCTTCGTACATGGGACTTTTGTTACCCTATTAATACTTCTTTTACCTCAATTACTGATATCGTAGTCACGTGTTCAGATATTGTCCGAACACCATCGCCCATGATACCATGAGCTCCTGGAGGTTGGAGGCATTAATGCTCTTTGCCTCTCCTGTACAAGGTCTGGCCCAGGTGTATGGTAAATGTTGAAGGGATGAAGAAAGTCTTGTTTAGCACTAGCAGGAATTCATCCGTATAGTCCCTTTGCTGGATGCTGCCATAACTGGGGAGGCAGAGGTCCCAGCCATCCCGAAACTACAGGACATTTTTTGCTTTCTCTCCTCATCCAGAATTAATTTGATTTACTGCAAAGATCCCCTGTCTGGGATGGTTTATAATCTTAATTGGATTCTGTCTCTATTTTCTAGGCTGCGTGGATGCCTGGGAACCCAAAGTGCTACGGGCAGCGATGGGTGCGCATTTCCAGGTGCCCATCATCAATAATCTGGACTGGGAAACGTTGCCCAACTACCTGCCCACCGACACCCGGGTCTATGTGGCTGACAACTGTGGCCTTTATGCCCAGGCGCACATGTCTAATAAAGCCAGTGATTACGGCTGGGTATGTGACCAACAACTCTTGAAGTTACACAAGTATGAGGAGGAGGAGGAGGATCTAGAACCTGGAGCCAGTAAAGCCTGGCTTCCTGAAGTTGAGGTCCAGAGTTATGACTTGGACTGGACAGAGGCACCAGCAGCTGTGGTAATAGGCGGGGAGACCCATGGTGTGAGCCTGGAGTCCCTGCAGTTGGCCGAGAGCACTGGGGGCAAGAGGCTGCTGATTCCCGTTGTGCCTGGTGTGGACAGCCTAAACTCGGCTATGGCTGCAAGCATCCTGCTTTTTGAAGGGAAAAGACAACTGCGGGTCAGGGCGGAACACGTGAGCAGGGACAGGAGTTACCACTGAGAGGGATCTTGAAAGTCAGTCCTTGATTTGAGGTGGTTCCCAGCTCCTCCTGCATTGTTAGGAGATAGGCAGAATATGGTAATCAGGCCATATTCAGGAGGCAAGAGGTGGGCAAGATGCCATTATATGATTACTGGAAAAATAAGAATTTCCATGAATTTATGCTTATCTTCAAAAGTAACAAGGGTGAGAATTCTTCCTGAGATCTCCCCCAGCTCCGGAGCCGAACTTCCTCTCGTGAGAGCCCGGAGAGCAAGCATGACTCGTGCCCCAAGTGGTGGCAGAGTGGAATTGCTTTATGTTTAAGGGGAGGGGTTTTTGCAGGAACAATCTCTGGTTGGCTGTGCTCTCCCAGGCTGGTGCCCCACTTTGGTCTGGGCCTGGCCAGGGTCACACACAAATGTCTGATGCAAGTGGCCCACAGATTGTGCTTGAGACCCTCAATGCCCCGTCAGCTTTTAGAAGGTAGAAGAGCCCACAGCCTTCATAGAGGGCTGAACCCACAAAGGCTCGTCCTCCAGCTTCACAGAGGCCATGATGCCTGTCACACCAGCAGGCTAGATCTGGGAGGCAGCTCAGTACTGGAGTGTGTTGGCATTTGTTCTGTCAACACCTTGGAAAAGTGCTAAGAAAACGAGGTCACTAAAGGATGAAGCCAGTGTCCTGCAGCTTTGTCCCTGGATTATTGTTCCTGCTGATTTTTGTTACAAAATAAAGATCAATGACCGAACAACAAACCCTATGCCTTGTTACTGTTAAGAAAAACAAAACAATGCAAAACATTATACCTGGCACATAATTCTAAGTCTACTTTATCACACTGGGTGAAAGAAGGAAAAGAAATTTACGTCCCATTCACTTCATAGTCAATGGCTTATATGCCATGCCTTGTGAGTTCTTTTTGCACATTTGTGGATATAATTTAGCAAAGAGGGCAAATTTTCCTTTCTTTAAAATGACTACAGGGGAAGCAACCAGTGATGAGGCTCTGATTTGTTGAACGATCATGGAAAGTCACTTTCTCAAATTCTTTGCAATTTTAAGGCCAACATTTGTTTTTTTGCCATTTCCCCGGAAAATAAGAATTAAAGAAGGAGCAGTATAGGACAGTACACTACACTGGCTGGAAGAGAAGCTGTCAGATGGTTGGCAGAGCGGCCCCTTGACTTTGTTGAGTGGAGCGCCATTGATGGTTTCTGCCACAAGGTGGCAGCCGCACTTTGAAACCACTCCCAACCCTGAAGGGAGGGATTTAAGTTATTGAGAAAGGATGGAGTGAGTCTCTGCACAGAGGGCATTTTGCAGGACATTTGTGCTCAGAGGTGCTGAAGTTGGAGACCCATCCAGATTCTCATTCTCAGCAGAATCTGAAGCATAGATGGACACTGGGCCAAAAAACTAAGGGGGAAGTGGACAGAAGTGGGAAGCGGTTGCCGAGGGAAAAACCAGCATAACTTTTTCCTTTGAATGGAACCTCTGGGAAAGTAGCTCTGGACAAATGTTGATGTCCCCATAGGCCTGGAACTCACGCTGGGAAGCCTCACCCTGGTTTGCAGCTTCAGGGCAGGGAGAGCTGCAGAGTCCTCTTCCCTTCCCCCAGCTCGAGGTGAAGATCCTGTCATTAAGGCTCAGAGGATGAGCAGACCTCTGGGGACTGGTTTCCACCAGTTTCACCTGTGACCTCCTACTACTTGCCCCATGGATCATCGAAACACCAGATGTCCCCTTCTAAGCTGAGCTGCTTTTATTTATTTACTTAACGTTTTTGTTTTTGAGAGAGACAAAGTGTGATGGTGAAGCAGGGGTGGGCAGAGACAGACAGACACAGAATTGGAAGCAGGCTCCAGGCTCCGAGCTGTCAGCACAGAGCCCAATGTGAGGCTCAAACCCACGAACCATGAGATCATGACCTGAGCCCAAGTTGGAGGCTTAACCGACCGAGCCACCCAGGTGCCCCAAGCTGAGCTGCTTTTACCTCCACTTTTGCCATTTTGCCACACGAACACCCCAGAAACAGCACCACACCAAGGGTTCTGTGGCTAGTGCTGAAAACCAGCTGTGCTGCAGGGCCTGGGTGTTCCCTGGGCCAAGCCCTCCCCGCCCCCACTCACTTAAAAAAAAATTCTTTTTTAGGTAACACTCACATAGACATCTTTAAACTCCAATGACTTTCTTCAGTGCACAAAAGTAGCAAGCTGGAAGTCAAATGAATGGATGAGCTGTTTATTGCTGTGGGCGACTTAAAGTCTGAACTAGCTTGCCACGTATGTCTGCAGCTGAGACAGCCTGCAAGCCGGGCCCTCCAGAGCCGCGGCCAACACCCAGAGGCCAAGTATGACTGAAAGTCTGAATACGCTACAGAAGGCATCGGTTCTCTTAACTACGTTTGTTTTCTAGGGGAGCCACCTTCTTCAGCTAAGGCATCATAGTCGGAGGGCCATCCGCAAAGCTGCTGCTGCTGCACAATGCAAGAAGGGAACAAAGGTTGGGGACGAGATGTGGCCGTGACAGGGTCTGGCCTCCCAGCCTCCCTCTTACCTCTGTGATGGGAAGGGGTGGTGCGACTGACTGCAGACCGGCAGAGGGACTTACTTCCACGTCCTGTGATGTCCGAAGGAGATTTCTTTTTTAGCCCTGGGTCCTAAGATCATGCCCCCTCTTGTATCCTTGTGCTTACCTGTGTTGGGTGACTGACCTGTGTGAAGCATGAACACCCAGGAACCTAGACTTGAGGCTGCCTGCCTCCTTTGGGCTGCACAGTCACCTACAGGCTTGGGGAGAGACCTTCATGAGTTAGCACGTTATTTAATAGAAATCCAGCAGTCCTTCAGAACAAGTCCTACCCAAATCCGGTTACACATCTCCTAGCCTGGGAAGTATTGCAAGAGTCCAAGGGGCTGTGGAGACACAATATGCCTTAAATGAAGCAGATTTTCTTCATGCTTTCACATTTGAGGCACGCCTAGGACATCCTAACGTTGTATTTCCCCCATTGGAAGGAGAAATCGCAGCCATAAAGTGGACCCAATGTAACATTTTCCTACAAACAGCCTTGGTTCCTGGAAACCACGTCCCTTGCATTATTTACTAACACTGGATAATCAGGAACGAAGCTAACAGATGACAGCCATTTGTCAACAGAGGATTTTCTTTTGAGCAGCCTGCTTGGAAGAAGGCCATGGCGACTCTTGCCCGCTGGGTGTTCGCAAAGAGGGATACAGGTTCAGTGCTCGCTTCTTCAACACCGCCGCTTCAGGGAACTTGACAGACCCTGAGCTCTGGGCCTCTGGGTCAGTCCTCTGTTCACATGGCACCACCCAAAGAGGCCACAGAGGGCACTGCTGAAGTTCCCTACCGGCCACACGCAGCCGTGCCCAGTCCCATCGGGCGAATGTGGGCCTGTTCCTCCTGGTCCAGGGAAATGACTTATGAACAGGATGTCCCCATGCCTGAGCCTGTGTGACTGAAGGGCGCTGGGCCAGCTGCCTGCTCACATCCCTCCCGGAGCTACGATTCCAAGTCTACATGCGTGCGCACACGTGTGGTGTTCTCCCTGAGCGGACGCTGCGACACCTTATTAGGTTCTGCTGATCTATTCTTGGACCGTGTTCTATGTCTAGATCATTGCAGAACTCCATTTGCTACCCTGGAACAAGGCAGCAGGCGGAGAGAACAGATTTTTAGTGTCTTTAATTAGGCAAGAGGCAAAAACAAAGTCTGGCTGAAAATTACCACTTGAAGTTTGGCTCATGCCAAAACAGTTCTGGCTCCCTGTGCTTGGGTAAGTGAGAGCCATTGAATTTGAGGACATACTTGGAGATGGGGGGAAGCTTCTGGAAAGGAACTTCAGTTGCCCTCTGGCATTTACCGCTGCCCACCGTACATCCCGATTCCAAACACATACCCTTTTTCTTCACCAGATCTTTATTGTTGGGGACAGGTAAAAAAATCTCATCTGTTGTGAACACGAGTAGAGTCGGATCTGGAAGTCATTGTGGTGAGCACAGAATCTGGAACCCCAGGGTGGCATTTTTACAGCCACCTTCCTGCCTCAACCTACTGCGGCCTGGTTTCCCTTGCTGCTGATGGAAACCATTGAATATATCACAGCTGGGGTTTTAACCTGCTTCCAATTAGTGACAAGAATTAAGGTATTTTGGAGCTGCTTAAGAAGCAGCATCAAGAACCTTTGCATCAAGAACCTTTAAGATCTCATGCTACTGAAACAGGTTTTTACTGGCACTGGGAAGTGGTCCTCCCCCACCATTTCTCCTCAAAGCTGCCACTAGATAAACCTAAAACTTTTTTTTAGTAAACCTTCCCAGTGACCTTAACCTACACACCCACTCTAAAAGGGGAATTCTGGTGCCAAGGATCCAATTGACCTTAGTGGCAAGTAGTTCTGTCAGCCCCGTACAGGTCACAGAAGAATCACAGATGACCTGATTTTTCTGCCGCGTGACTTACAGGGACTCCTACCTGGACTTTGTTCCTTCTGCGCCAGAAGATAAGTAGTTGCTAAGAGAGACCACTTTTCCTCCAAGGCTATCATGATATAGGACACAGGCAGAAGTCCAAAGAAATCATCTTCCAAGTAAGGTTGACCTCACCTTGTCCCCACACCCACCACACTCCCAAGAGCTGGCAGGCCTGGCAGTGGGGCATATGTGGTGACAACCTCAAGTACAGCACCAAGTTCCTGAGCAACTTCCTGGGGCCCAAGAGAGAAAGCAAAAACCTGAGGGCACAGGCAGATGCTCACGACACCCACGTGGGCATCAAGGTGAGCACATTGCCGGGAGGCCCGAAGCCCTGCCCCAGTCAGGGTGCAGGACCAAGGAGCAAGGTCTGTAGGAGTCCAGCATCTGCCGTGCCCCTCAGCACACACACAGCTATCCCATGAGAAACCTCATGCCTTCAACCAGCACACCAGTACCAAGTACCAGGAAGTACGAAGGGTCCTGGGCAGCATGGCAGGCTAGGCAGCAGGTAGGAGCCAGGCTTGGGATGCAGCCATGATGGGGCAGAAACACGTTTGGAGAGGGATCTCCATTCCAGGGACTGTCCTTCCCGGACATCCTAGAAGACAACGTAGTTTGAGAACTTTGATATGGTGCAACACCTTGTCCCCACACCCACCACACTCCCAGAGGAGACACTGGCAACGTTCCCAGAGAAGCCCCTCCACTCAGCATAGAGCTAGGGTTGAGGGTCTCCAACTGTTGCCCGTTCTTCACTGGGAGACCTGTGCGGGATTCCTTGTTTCTGCAACCGGCCTCCTCAGGCTTCAGAGCACTTGCTCCCCTATGGGGAGGGGATGAGCACCAGTGTCCACAAGAATGCCTGTGAGCGGAGAATCTGCCCTCCACGAGGGCAAGTGGAACCAGGAGAGATGCCAGCCAGAGCTCCAGCAGGGATGTCGGATGCACTAACCCAAAAGAGCTCCCTGGCCTCAGAAGGATCCGGCAGATGACCACGTTAGTTAGTTTCTGCTCTGAAAAATTCTGAAACATAGCTACTAGGTATCCAATGAAAGTCAAGAAGATCTTGTGTGTCTCCCCCCCACCCCCGACCCCCCAGGGCCCAGCACCACAAGCAAAAAGATTTTTGTTATTAACCACAGGAGAGGCCAAGTCGATAATGTCCAGAGATGCCTGCTTTATTTCTTACTAGGTGATTGCATTTCAGGCTGTGACATCAAGTAACTGTCTAATTACCAGCTAACCTTGTACCTCTGAACTACAAAGCAACAGTCCAATTCAGCAAGGGGCAATGGTGTCAATAGCTGACCGAGGGCTGGGTTTTCTAAATCAGTGGTCTTGGCTGACAGAATGCTGTCAGCGGAGACAAGGGTGAGGCCTGCCATCAGGTGGAAGACCCTAACACCTGGTTGAGATAGGCCCAAATCCTGTGACTCCCTAGGTAAAGCCCCCACCCCAAGTCCCAAGGACACAGCAGTTGTTACTTTTGTTTTCTGGGATCCAAGCTACCTGAGCTTGCTCAGCAAAGTGGATCCAAAGCGTACTTTTAGTTGACATGCCCTCTGCTCGCACTGCCACCCTAGGATACAGCTCTTTCTGCAGGTTCTTAGGGAGAAAGCTAGGCTTCTGGTAATTTCTTGTCTCTTTTTAGTTCTGCTTTGACAAGAAAAGAGGGATGACAGAGGTAACCAAAGGTGGTCACAGGCACCGTGGCAGAGTGGGCCGAGTGTCAGAGGTCTGTGCTGGGTGAGGTGGGGCACCTCCAAGAACACAGGGCTGGGTGCCTCTTCTCGGGAAGATGTCCGAGGGGAAGAATTAACAAAATTCCAAGACAGCAGAGGCTGTTTGTACAAGAAGGCAGAAACTTGGAGAAGGTAAGATCAAGGAAAAAAGATGTAAGGAAAAAATCACATGGTAGGAGCTCAGAGTAAGCAATTACTACATGAATCATTACCATAGCTACTCTTTCTCACCAGAAAAGAACACAAGCTTCCTTTGAGATCGTGAAATCCCCGGCCCAAGAACCGACTGCCAAGCTGGTGTTTTTCCCTCACACCAAGAGGGAGAGTCACTAGACGAAGTCACTTAGGAAGGGATGTTCTCACCAGCAGCTCTAACCTGAGGCGAGCAAGGCTGCGGCCCTTTCCCTGCTCCACCTGCATGTACGTGTGTCACTGAGCTGTCCTGGGCCCTGCGTGTGCATGCTGACACCAGAGGCCGAGCCAGAGCACCAGCGCACTGTCCCTTCACGCTCGCTCGGCAGAAGAATGCCTGGCAAACACTGCTTCCAGAGCTAGTGACTGAGAGTGTGATGCAGTCCTGGCTCTGGCCGGGTTATGCCAGCCCTGTGAATCCCAGGCCGAGTCTCCAAACATGGTGGGTTCTTCTGCTGCTGAGAGGATGTGCACCTTAGGGTGCTAGCTGAGGAGTTAATGCAGAAAACAAGGCACCACAGAGAGGTTGGACACTTGGGTTGTGTGATTCAGGACACGCCGGAAAAGTCCAAGGGTGGAGGGAAGAAAGGGGAGGAGGAAGAGGAGAAGACCGAGTTTTAAATAACGTCTCCTGAGGCCGGAGCCCCACTAGATGGGCTCTGGTTTGAGCTTTTCTGCTAGGAAGTCATTCACAAAGGCCTCCACAATGGCAGGGGTGATCTCCTCCACGTCCATCACGTACTTGGCCCGGGCTGACATGTCCAGAATGGTGAGCAAAGGGGCCGCCTCGGGCAGGTTGGTGTAGTCTCGCAGGGAGTCAGTCATGTCATCCTGGAAGTCACCAGAGGGAGAGAAAACAGTACGTTTTCAAGAAGGAGGCTAGAGAGTCCCCAGAACGCAGCCACTCCATTGTCCTGAGGAGCGGGCGGCCATCCGGAAACGATGGGCTCTCAGAACAGGGAGCAGTGGACTCTGCCCTGCCTGGGGGAGGGGAGGGTGCTTTGTAAAGTCCTCTCTGCATCTCCCCAAACCACCAGAGAAGTCCTCTTTCTTCATTAGCACAAAAGCAACTTTAACATGCCCTCTGCTTTGTAAAAATGTGATGTCTTCTGATCACTTACTTTTGCAACTGCCTCTCAATTATTGGCGGCCCCACTATGGATATCTGAGGCCAACCTGGCCAACCTTCAACTCCGGAATGTCTTTAATGGAAACAGATCACTGTCCCCACCCCATCCTTAAGGTTTTGGGGGTGAAACTGCACAGCCAGTAGAAAAGACAGGGCTACTGCAGTACTTCCTGAGGCTTACATGGGTGGCTGCATTTATCATACATTCCCAGTGACTGTCCAGATGAATTTGCCTTATTAAGTAGAACGGCAAACCCAGAAACCCAAAGATAGGAGACAGACTTGTAAGGGAGCAACCATTTGAGATTACCTTTCGTGCACCCGACCCCCATTTGGTAGAGAACAGGAAATGGACTCTACACAGCCACCCCGACCCAAGTCACCCTGCAGAGGAAGGGCCTGGGGTATTCCTGGCCTTAAACGCTGGCGAATAGGAGGTATGAGATTTACTGCTCACTGGTTTCTGAGACAAAAAAAACAAAACAAAAACAAAAACCATTCCATTCTCAAAGGGCAAATCTTTAGGAAGATGATTAGTGATTGTCTTTTCTCCCTACCCCAGAAATGGCATGCACTTCCAGCAATGGCGATGAGGGATTCAGCACCTCTGGCACTGTTCACCCCGCTCAGGCCCTCCATGTGGGTTAATAAACAACCTTCATGATCGAAAGAGGGGAGACACCTGGACAAATACTGTGTATCGAATTCCCATTAGGAGGCCTTGGCCAGCTGAGCACAATGCTGCGTCCTCTCCCCTCTCCCTCTTTGCAAACCACAGGGAGATGAATTCAATGTCTACTAAGGCTTCAGAAGGGATGACCTCCACCTGGCAGAGTGGAGGGGATCAAGATAAACACCCTTAGCCCCAGGAGGAGCGGGAGAGGGCTGGAGTCCTGGCTCAGAGGTGCTTGGTCAGTGCTTGATGTTCCCACACCCCAGGACCATCCCCTTCCACACAGCCTTGCTTCTCAGTCCAGTTCTGAGTCCGAGAAATGGACTAAGACAGCTGCCAAGGTCAGGATCCCAGGTGAAAGGCACAGGAAGGACGAGGTGGCCAGGTGGCAAGATGGAGCAGTGGATGACCCTGTCAGACCCTCCTCTGTCCTAGACGCTTCCCTCCAGGCCTGGGCCTGGCCACCTGCCAGACCACGTGGGCAGCAGGAGGGACATCACTGCCTCTGGAGTCACACTGACCTCACGTTCAGTCCTCTGTGCCACCTACTTAATGTGCGACTTTGAGAAGTCATTTTTGTGAGCCCAGGTCTTGTCCCCTGCAAAATGGGTCTAAGAGCAGCTCACACAGGGACGAGGCGTGAGCGGTCTGTGCTCTCGAAGCCTCACTCATCTGTGAGATGGTAATCTCACATCCCCAGTCAGAGAGGTGAGGAGCAAGTGGGATGGTGCTGGTGGTGCTTGTCTTGGTGCCTGCTACACAGAAAACCCGCAAATGCGCCTTTTCAGCCACATTTCTAAAGCAGTTACTGGAGCTCCCCAGCCCCAGCCCTGCCCCTGGCTCGGCCCCTGCTGTCTTGCACCCATCTTTTCTGTCTCAGCCATCTGAAAGGGGTTAGAGTTCAATAAATTCAGAGCAGCTTCCATTTGTGCTTTGTGTAGAGCGGGCTCGTGTAGCCCCAAGGCAGGACCCTGTGAACCTGTTTTGTTCCCTCCGCCCCACGGCAGAGCGGGGTGACTTGAGCTGCCTGTGAGGGACCCGGTGGGGCTTAGGAGGGGTGGCTGTTGAGGAGGTGATGAATGGGTGGTGGTTGGGGGTCTGGCCTCATTGCCTCTCCTGGGATCCAGACAACACAGCATGAAACAAGCGCTGGGCTCTGACCAACTGGGGATGCAGATGGGTGGCAGGAGGGCAGGGGGCTTCAAAAAGTGTGTCTGTCAATAGCTTCCGGCCGGCGCCTGGGGTTGGGTGGGGAGAGGGGAGGGAGGAGGTGGCGGAGCATGCGTGGACTGGCTTCCTGGGGGCGGGGACTACGGCCATCTTGCAGGGATTTCCCCCATCTGCAGGATGGAGGCTCAAGCACCAGGGTGGGACAGGCACCCGGCTGAGGCCTTCTCACCCTGTGTAAAGTCCTCCGCTCAGCCCATCCCAGCTGGAGGCCTTCAAGGGACAGGTCTTGGGCGAAAAGAACCTGGGACAGCAGCAGTTTCCCACCTGAGCACCCTCCCTGGGCTGGCTGGGGAACTGCAGATCCGAGTCGAGGCCCCCAGTCAGGATGCCTGCAATGGGGGAGAGCCCACTTTGCAGGTCAGGGCGGAGGGACTGATCACAATCTTTGTGGCTGCCACTCGTGCTAGCGGCCTGGGTAGTAGACTGCCAGAGGCAGCGCTGTCCCGGGAGGGCCTCCTGCTGCTCTGAGGCTGCCGAGCAACAACGAAAGGGAGGAAGGTGCAGCAGGGACCATGCTGGATGACACCTTTTCATGCCACGGTTGTCTGTGGGCTCCTCACCCCAGATCCCGGGGCCCCTTCGAACATCCCCTAGGGCCACATCGCTCATGTTCTAAGAGTTGGCCAGCCGAGCAGCCCGCGGCCCAGGCCCCAGTGCACTCACCTCCCCGGCGACAAAGAACAGAAGTGGCGCCTCCTCCTCTTTGGCTTTATACTTGGCAATGATCTTCTCGGCTATTGGCTGGATCAGTTGCTTGGCTGCCTCGGACTCCCCATCATCCTCAGAATCTGTAATGGGGAAAGAGAGACACGAGAAGCACTAGTTTGTGGAACAGATGGAGTGGTGTCCCCTGAGGGAGCTGGGTCCTGGGCCCGAAATGCCCATCCGGGGAAGCCCCTGAATGGAAACAAAACGTCCCCTGGGACACAGGCCTCCCCTCCTGGGTGCACGAGGGTGTGTTTGCAGCGCATTCGCACCACTGCGCGCTGAACTTCCCCTGAGCCAGGATCTGAGGTCCTTGTAGCTCTTCTCTCACAGAATCACAGCATGACCTCAGATCTGACCTCCTATCAAAAATGGCAGGACTGATGGTGGCAGTGGGGTGCCCCTGAGGCCCTGGAATACCAGCTTCAGGGCTAGCCGGACTCTTCTGGGAGAGGATGGACTGCCTGTGTGGGAGGGGGCCTGCCCAGGTGTCCGGAGCCCCCTTTAGTCACCTCTTGCCTCCAGGGAAAGAGCAGCTTGGGAGCAGCCACACACAGGGGCCCTGGGGCTCACTCCTGATGGAGCCTGTAGCCCAGAGCAAGAGCAAGAACAACACCCCTAGGGGCAAAGTGGGAAGGAGAGACAGGTAGCAGGATTTGCACCTAGAAATGCCACATTGCCCAAGGGGCCCTCAGCCTGAAGACTCCGCGGGACTTATTCTAGATCTACATCTCATCAGCTCTGTGACGCTGGGAACTCACTTTATCTCTCTGGGACCTTCTCATATCTTCTCAGATGGCCAGTGAGCTGCAACTGTCCCTAAATTCAGAACTGTGTCCCAGAGGCCCCAGGATGTGGGTGTGGGGGCAGGCAGTAGGCGGCAAAGCCCCAAGGACAGTGATTCCCCAGGAGGCCTCTGTTCTTCAAGCACAGGGGCCAGCTTGCAAGTCAGTTTGTTTAAGAATCCCCTTGAGTCTGCTGATTGGCTCCCATACCAGACTTCCAGAGCACAGGGTAGGATATGCCCCCCCAATGGCATCTCAGCCATGACCCTCATACCCCAGATTATTTGGGGAGTTGGAGCTGAGCAACACAGCCCAAGGCAGAGGGTGAGGTGGCCCTTGGCCAGCAGTTGCTCTGTTTGCAAAAGGAACCAGGGTCATCCCACAGGGCTGCAGGGAGCCTGGAGTGGATGTTCTGGTGTCCCCCTGGCCCCCAGAGCAGTCACCCACTGAACAGAGAAGACACCGAGGGGGGCACGCAGAGACAAGGCCCTGAGGCTGGGGTGGGGGGCCTCGGCCCAAGGGGGCCCAGCCCCTGCAGCTGCTGTGCACGCAGCCCTGCCTCCTCCCAACAATGGGTCTGTTGGAGGGGGGCCGGGCTCCAGCCTGACCTATTCTTCCCAGCTGGCAGTGGAGGAAGGAAAGCACAGCGGCAGCTCTCAAAGCCCCTCCTGCAGGGGCAGAGCCATGAATAAATCATTGGGGTCAAAAGCAAGGCTGCCGGGAGAGACAAAGGCCCAGGCTCGGCATTGTTGGCATTGTTCAGGATGGAAAGAAGCTGCAGGATGGACACCCCCCACGTGAGGTCTGTCTTGTCCAGCCCACCCTGGGGCTCCTGCTGGGGCTTCATACCTACAAAAAGGACGAGGCAGGGGCCCTCGTTGAGCTGCACGGCATTGGAGTCGGAGAGCTCCAGCACGGGTTTGGGGTGCCACGGGAACTCCCTGCAGTCCTCATCGTTCAGCACCTCCACGCGCCCCTGCCGCGTGATCACTTCCCCCTGTGGGTCCAGCACAATGAGGGTGGGGATGCCTGTGAGGGAGAGAGCTCACTTGAGAGTCCAGAAGTGCTGGGACAGAATCCAGGCTCAGCCATGGGACTCCCTCGGGTCTGCCCGCAACTTGTCCAAGAAACCGGGCAACTCACTTCACCCCCTGGCTTCAGTGTTCTCCACTGCAATGTGGTAAATGGACCGCGGCACCCTCCTTCCCATCTTTGTAAAGATCAGCGAGGTCGTGCACTTAAGGAACTCAGCACAGGGTCTTGGCACTTAGAAGCACTCAATAAATCCTAAAGAGATCCCAGAGAAGCAGGAGACGCCCCTGCCACCTGCAGGGTGTGAAAACACACCCCCACACAGCGTACTTGCTGCCCACATAGGCCAGCACAAATCAACCCAGGCAAGGGGAGTCCACACACAGGCTGGCAGTCCCACCAGTGTGAGCACAGAGGCTGGAGGAGGGGAGGAGCCTGGGGCAGGGGCCACAGCAGAACAGGGGACAGCCGGCTGCTAGTGAGCCAGGGGCCCCACCTCCATCTCCAGCCCTGCTGCCCGGGGAGGTTCTGAGGGGGACAGTCCCTAGAGGGAACATGCTGATGGCAATGCTGCCACCCCCACTTTAGAGTCCTGGGCTGGAGTAAGAAATGCAACACAGAACTCTCCTCCGCAAACAGCACGCCCCACCCCCCTGCCCATAAAGCCTCAAGTGAAAAACCAGGAAAAAAACCCATCCTGGGTTACACTCGCATTTGGGATTTCCACCTCCTTGCTCTGCGTACCCTATTCCCTGCTGCCTCTCCTCCAGCCAGGGTACCCCCTACCAACCGCAGCCCATAGCCCTTTTGGAGACACTTGTCTCTCCACTACTGGCAGCCGCTCCCCTCACCCCCTCCTAACCAGCCACCTCTCCTCTGGAGCTGACCAGAGCTTTTTAATTTTCTATGGGCCAGCGAAAGCTGTAGCAATTTAATATTTATAGATTCCAAAGCATTCAGTGAGTAATTTGCTCCACTGACATTTTGCTTCTCTGTGGGGGAGGGTGGGGACAGCGAGGGACCCGGAATGTGGTCCTAGTGTTTTGTTACCCGGCGCGGCTGCTGGCGCAGCAGGCATGCAGTGGTGGGCCTGTCTTCAAAAGGACTTAAGTGAGTCCATTATGTTCACACCTATTAGAAGTAGCTTGGCATGCTGGAGAACAAGTCCAGAGAGAAATGGGCTCCGGAGAACTGCCGTTCCCACCGCACCACACACAAATGCATGCAGCCAGGGCTCCTGGGGGCATTCAGGACACTATCAGCTGTCCAGGCCTCCTGAGTTGGGAGTCACACAAAGCCTATGGGCGTTTCCAGCCTCATCCTCACACCTGCATGTTAGCCTCCAGGGGCCTGGGTTCCCCAGCCCCGAGGATGGGGCTGGGCCTGAGTCAGCAGCCTAAAGGAGCTGGGGGCCACGATGGGGATGGGGGCCTCCCATCGCCACGCCCCATCTCAAATATGCTTTGGCTAAGTTCTTTAATCAGAGTTGGTGTGTGGTTCTGACATTGGGCAATTTAGGAGTGTTGGGTTAAACCAGGGCCTGCCCACTGCTAATATTAGACACAGCAGCCAGCCTGTTTGTAGCCCAGACGTAGGATGCTGAGTTGGTCTGTGGAAGACGGACAGCCACAGAGGACAGAGAAGGGAAGAAAAGTAAAATCTGAAGGCAAAGAAACCCAGTTCCTGGTTTGATGCCTCAGTTTCTCCAAGGGACTACTCTAAGGGGCCTTCTGTGTTACCACGGCTGTAGCCTTTCTGAAGTCCTCACTGGTGGGGACCAGCAGGGCAAGGACATGGAGCCCCTGTCTGGCTGCTCAGGGGTCCTCAGCTGATTCCACCAAGGAACAGCACCCCTGGGCCTTGGCTCTCCCCACCCCTTGCCTGCAGCTACACAAAAGCAAAGTCCCCACTCGTATTTGTGCTTTGACACCAAAGCCCACGTCTAAGAGCCTAAGGTAACCAGGTGTGTGTGACTGTCGTACATCAACAGAAAGCAGCTTGGTAAAATGCCCACAGTCAGACTGCAAACCCAGAGAAGCCCCTTTCTGGCACATGCACTGGGCCAGGCCCCTCTGCCATCATGCCCGGCCCTAGAGCCTTAAGTGTGTGTGCTCCCCTCCAGGGGTGACCCGCAGGAAGAATGGGAGAGCTGTCTTAGCACATCTGCTCAGCACTAGCATGGCCCATGCTACTCCACTTCCTCCCCATAATAGACAGCTGCGGGAGGCACGATTAATCCTCTTTTCACGGACGGCCAAGTTACCTACCTAAGGTCATCCGGCCACAAGTGGCCAAACTGGGACAGGACCGCCAGTCTGCCTGTTGCAAAAGCTGCTGCTTTTTCTACCTGGCCACTGCCAGCAGGGGCTCTCGCGGGTAGGCAAGGGAAGGCCCCCCGGCATCCAGTTTTCTGCACCAGCAGCCGCCCTCCTCTTCCTCCTCAAGGCCACAGGGAAGGAGGCTGAGACTGCAAATCATCTCTTCCCTTTCCTCCCCCACAGCATACATTCCCGGCTCCCCTGAAGCGGGTTCCCAGAAGCAGAGACTTAGAAGGAGAAAATAGGGCAAAGCCCCTAACGGGAAACTGAAAGGGAATGGAACATTTCTAATCGATGCCTTTGTGCAAAATAACTTTGGCGGCACCAGTGAGGGGCTTCTCCGAAGGGAATGCCAAGGGAGCACGTGTCATCTCTGCCTGAGCTTCTGGTTCCCCAGCTGGGGGCGCTGGAGTGGCTGGGGGAAAGTACGGTGAGAATTCCAAGGCAGATCCAGGCCACCCACTTCACTTCGTGGAGCCTCATTTCCATGGCCGCCACAGGGGGTAGAGACAGGCTCCTATCTCAGTGGGTGTCGGGAGCAACAAACAAGATGACAAGTATAAAATGCTGAAAGCGTTTTACAATGAGTACTCCAGAAGTATTAGCCCCTCTTATAAATGAGTTCATTATTTTTAAAGTAATTTTTTAAGTTTAGTTTTTAATTTATTTTGAGAGAGAGACATAGGGAGCAAGAGGGGGAGAGACAGAGACAGAAAGAGGGAGAGAATCCCAAGCAGGCTCCGCACTGCCAGCACAGAGCCCAATGTGGGGCTGCAACTCATGTACCGTGAGATCGTGACCCGAGCCGAAGTCAAGAGTCGGACGCTTAACTGACTGAGCCACCCAGGCGCCCCTCGTTATTGTTATTTGTGGTCATCCTAGGTTGATTATGTGGCTCATGAGAAGGCACAGGTACAGAAAAGACTGGTGCCTTGCTGTCGTGAGATACACAGAAACCCTGTGCTGGCCGGAGGAGGCTAACTAAAGAAACAGAAAACAGAGACAATTGTCCACGCTGCAGCGAGCATCGTAGGAACCGTGTGACGTCTACCACACGTGGGGTTGGTGTTCGTTTACTTGCACCAGGCCAAGCGTAACCTTTGGGTGAGAAACACACACCAGCGCTCCTAGAGAGAGCTTCTGCCTCAAGCCCCCTACCCTGGGGAACTGGGCTGGACCACGAACAGTGCCCCAGAACCCCCTGCACAGTCTCTCTCAAAACCTACAGAACAAAGACCAAGGCCCGAAGGCCTGCTCCAAACGGTTTCCTCCTGGGAGGAGCCTTTCCGTGAGTATTTAAAACAATCTCAAAGACATGTGTACTGAGCCTGTCCCACATTTAGTTTGGCTGCTTTTCTGCTGAGCAAAAAGGGGGTTTTGAAGGAGGCGGCAGAGGGGGCCCGGGGCAGTGGGACAGAAGCTAGGCAGGGCTGTAACCCCAATGACCTTCTGTCTCTGCTTCTAGATGGCAACATGACCCGAGGGGGCTGGCAGTCATCATGCAAAGATTGCTGGGAGCTGGAAGAGAAATGGAAGGAAAAGCAGAGCCTTAGGCAGGAGGAACAGGTGAGGGTACAGGGCAGGGCAAAATAGGTGATCACGACAGTGCTCATCATGGGGACTACAGCAGGATGGAAACTGTAACATGTCATTAAATAGAAAGTAGAGAATCCCCAGTCCCGTGTGTATGATTACAGCTACATATAAGTATGTGTGCGTGTGGACAGAGACCAAAAGGGAGTCGGAACAGTAAAAACAATTGTGTAGTAAGGCAGGAATGCGGGTGAGAGCAATATAGACTCGAGTTTTCTTAGATGGTGTTATGATAAATGTGTATTAGCTTAAAATACAAACCAAAGAAAATCCGGAGGGCAGTCGGGCAGGGCAACAAACTCAGGCTAACGCCTTGGCCTTATCAATTACGGGTTCCCTTCAACAGCTCCCTCTGCACTCCCTGCTGGCTCCCCCAAGCCCGCCCTTGCCTGGAGAGCTATGGAAGGGAGAAGGCAGCTGGTCTGGGTGGTAAAACTCAGAGAATCCCAGGGCACCTGGGCGGCTTAGTTGGTCAAACGGCCAACCCTTGGTTTTGGCTCAGGTCATGATCTCAGAGTTTGTGGGTTCGAGCCCCATCTTGGGCTCTGCACTGATGGTGTGGAGCCTCCTTGGGATCCTCTCTCTCTCTCTCTCTCTCTCTCTGCCTTCTCCTCATTCTCTCTGTCTCTCTCCAAAATAAATAAACATTAAAGAAAAAAAAAACTTAGAATCCCACGGGAGGGTGCGAGGACGGGTCTAGCTTTGCACTTGGCCAGCAAGCCCAAAAGCCACTTGGGCACGTGTCTGTGTCAGAGGCACAGAGACGTTTGTGGCAGCACTCCTACAATACACAGAAACCAGACGCAAGCAAGCGTCCATCAAACAGGGTAACAGCTACGTAAACCGTGGTCCAGGTGTACAGTGAAACCCTTTTCAGCACCGAAGAGAAGTGAATCAGATATAAATATCAACAAGGACAAATCTTGAAAGCATAATGTTTAGTGAGACAAGCAAGTTACAGAACGATATTACAGCATGTCAGCACTTAAACATGCTTCTAAAAAACACACCCAGCATGACCATATATTATTCATGGATTCATACATATGCTGTAAGGATATGAAAACCAATTATGAAGATACACAC